AGCAATGCACGGGGAGCGGGCGCTGCTGCCCCGGCGGGACCAGGTACGGGGAGCGGCCGCGTTCGCTTGGGCTGAAACAGCGTTGAATTCGGGTTTGGGTTTTTTTTTTTTGCCCCGAAGCGGTATCTCTCCTTTGAAACTCGCTGATTTCCTCCCTCTCGCCGGGGTGTGCGTTCGGCTGCCTCGCGTGCCTGTTAGAAGTGAGCATGGTAGGTGGGTTGTTTTGGGAGAGGTTTCACGGTTACTGCTGTACAAACAGGGAAAGCCTTGGGAATGACTTGGGTGTTGCTGTGCGCTTGAATCGTGTGGCTTCTGCTCTCAGTTCCCTTCCTGGTCTCTTCACTGTGCAGCTGGTGGAGCTTCTGCCCTTGTGCCCATGCCTTGGAGTGCTCGGCTTGCCAAGCTCCAGTGCCCTGCTGTGCGTTTGAGCTTGAGTTTTGGATTGTTTGAGGCCATGAAGTGGACTCAAGTATAAGGGAGTTTGCTTTCTTTTTTTTTTAGCTTTTACTAGATGTCTATAAAACACATGAAGCTCCCATGATTTATGATCCCATCTTCCGGGCAGCTGTGAAAAGGTGTATTTTTGCAGAGTTGCATCCATTTGTCAAGTTGGTTGGCATAAAGAAGGAAAGGTTTTCTACTGGTGAAGCTGGTGATCAGCACTCACGTTTGTCTCTCTCCCTGCCTAGATCGAGCGGCTGGAAGTCAGCAGCTTGGCACAGACCTCCAGTGCCGTGGCCTCCAGCACTGATGGCAGCATCAACACCGACTCTGTGGACGGGACCCCAGACCCACAGCGCACCAAAGTGGCCATCACACACCTGCAGCAGAAGATCCTGAAGCTGACAGAGCAGATCAAAATCGAGCAAACGGCCCGCGACGACAACGTGGCAGAGTACCTGAAATTGGCCAACAACGCAGACAAGCAGCAGAGCGCCCGCATCAAGCAAGTGTTTGAGAAGAAAAATCAAAAGTCAGCCCAGACCATCTTGCAGCTGCAGAAGAAACTAGAACATTACCATCGAAAGCTGCGCGAGATCGAACAGAATGGGATCCCTCGGCAGCCGAAGGATGTCTTCAGGGATATGCATCAGGGTTTGAAAGATGTGGGAGCAAAAGTCACTGGCTTCAGTGAGGGAGTGGTAGACAGTGTAAAAGGTGGGCTCTCCAGTTTCTCCCAGGCCACGCATTCAGCAGCAGGGGCTGTGGTGTCCAAACCCCGGGAAATTGCCTCCCTCATAAGGAACAAGTTTGGGAGTGCAGACAACATTGCTAATCTGAAAGACTCCTTAGAAGAAGGCCAGGATGATGGGACAGGCAAAGGTCTAGGTGTTATTCAGAACTTTCAGTCAAGCCCAAAATATGGCAGTGAAGAGGACTGCTCCAGTGCCACATCGGGCTCAGTGGGAGCCAACAGCACAACGGGAGGCCCTGTGGGAGCTTCCAGCTCCAAAACAAACACTCTGGATATGCAGAGCTCAGGGTTTGATGCAATACTGCATGAGATTCAAGAAATTCGAGAGACGCAGGCAAGACTGGAAGAATCCTTTGAGGACCTTAAGGTTCGCTACCAGAGGGATTACACGTTGATCATGCAGACCCTGCAGGAGGAGAGGTACAGGTATGTACTGTGGTTTCACTGTGCTGTGACCTCAGAGCACCAGAGCCAGGGATGGGACTGCTCAGCAGGCTCTTCCCAGCAGCCTGGTTTGCGTGGGAAGCTTTGTGGTCTTCTTAGACTTTCTCCATCCCAGCTTTGTCTTCTGTAAATATTATTATCTCTGTCTGTACAAGAAAGAAATAGTGAGGAAAAAAGGTTGTTTCATGGTGTTTTCAAGATAAGAAGTCAAGCCAAAGAGGTTTAGAAAGGTGTTGCAATACTAGAAGTGCATCAATGCAGTTACTGTAACCAGACAGTGCTTTGCCCAGCATGAATCCTGCAAAGGTTTGGGTCAGGGCAAGATACAGGGAACTACACATGGGCAGTACCCTGACCCTGCCTCCTCCAACAGTCTGATCTGTGTCTAGCAGAGAAAGAAACATTCCAGGGTTCTCTAAAAAGACTTGATCTTGCCCATGTGCCAAGACTAGGGTATCCCTTTCCTTCTCTGCTCACCCCACAGTGGCAGGGTTCGGGGGAATGAATTGCTGGGGTGGGGACAGACTTGCTGCAGTGCCCTGTGCCACTTGCTGTGTTGGTTTGCACAATGTTACGTGGAGTTGCCCTACAGCTCTTTAGACATGCTGGTGGCAGATCATTGGAAAAACACTGGGAAAGGCTTAACCTGCTAGGATCTGGTGGAGACAGCAAGCTTCCTGTGTGCTTTGCAGAGCTTGGGCAGATAAAGCCAGAGCTACACCACTTTCTAATCCTGCTTTGCAACAATCAGCAGTTTGACTGAAACCAGTGCCCAGCACAGCAACTTTGGTTCCTGGTGCCTCATTGTCATCAAGTCACTTCCCAAAGTGTCATGGAGCTTGATCTCCTGCTCCCCAGCAGAGAGGTGCTGTTGTCTGTCGCTGTGTAGGTTGTTGTTTCACACAGCAGCAGCAGTTCGTGGTGGGATGCTATGTGCAAGCACAGCACAGCTGAAGGAGTGGCCTGAAAGTAAAACAGAGATCTTGGGGACCAGTGTGTGCTGTCAGCTGAACTGGCTGGTGACTGCCTGACACCTCTGAGCAGAGCTCATGTAGGACCCACACTAATGCACCGTGCAGTCGTAGCTGTCCCATGCTGTTAACCTTTGTGGAGTGTTCCCTCCAGGTGAGCCCAGGGCCCAGCCACAAACCAAGGCAGCCTGGAGTGAAGAGCTCCCAGGAGAACCTGCATTTGGCTTATCAAAGCTTAAAAAGAGTCATTTAGACCTGCCATGTGGAATGTTGATGCAAATTAACGAAAGGTGTGACCTTTAAAGAGGACCAGTTAAACCACACTCAGTGCCCTTGTCTCTGCAGGTAACTGCACCATCAGCTAGAGCTCATGGGTCGCAGGGAGATGAGTAGCTGACTGTACAAATCTGGATCTTTGTTTGATAGCTTCTGTATTTTGAACTGTCATGTAGATAAAAGCTCTCTCCATAGGAGCTGGAAGGTGACATGATGTGTCCAAGGGCAGAGGGTGCTGCTGCCTTGGCAGGGAGGAGTGTCACCTGTTCCTCCAACTGGAACCTCTCCTGTCCCTCAGCTCTCTTCAGAAAAGAATCAAAAGATGGGAAAGGAGGTTGTGGTTTGATGCTGGGAGGCTGGAGCTTCAGACTAGTCATAACTGGCTTGAAAAGCTATAAAAGCCTCCTAACTCTGCTCTGGTTCTGAGAAGCTTTCAAAAACAAACACAGTTAGACTTTTCCAAAAAAATAGTATTTTGGAGAAGCCTTTACCTGGTTAGGTGACACTGACTGCATACAAGGCATGTGCTGTGACATTTTCTCACCTGGTCTTTGTCCTCTCCTTGTTCTTAGATGTTCAACTTTTTTGCAGGTTCTAATGGTGTTTTCCCTGCATGTTTGTGCAGCTTTTATTTCTCAGCCATGGCTTGCCTTGCAGGTTTTCCATGACCTCCTCCATCTCCTCCTCCTGCTTCCAGATCTTGCCGTAGCTGTCGGTTTGCTAACCATCTCCAAGGCAGGGACTCACTAGAGCAGTCACTCCAGTTCTGCTGCCCTGGTGCTGCCAGGGTGGCCTGGCCTGGCCCCAGAGCCAGGCTGGGTGGGCTGTGCTGTGCTGCCCAGCTCCTGTTGGCCCTGGAGCAGGGAGTGCTCCACCAGGGCTGAGTCACGGAGGAAGGAAGATTCTGGCGGCGCCTGGGCCTCGTCATGTTCTCTTGCTCCAGGAGAGGTGCTCAACTGGCCTGTTGCTTATCTCATTGTAGGAAGGTGGTGACTGTTTACTGATAATAGCAGGGACTTTCTGTGCTATTGAGACTGAAG